CTCAAAAAAAAAAAAATAGGTAATCAGTGTTTTATCTACAAATAAAAGTAAGCTACAAGAATGACCATGTTTGTTGGCAGTGACTATTACAGTCAGAGCATGAGCAGTCTTTGTTGACAGACTGGGAACTATTAAATAAATGAATTCTTCCCCGTACTGAGTCTCACATCACTCCTAATTAGCTGGGACACAGTGACAGGAGAACTCACAGAGCTAACTCTGGCTACAAAGTTGTGCCCATGCTAAGATGACCTCCTAAAGCCAGGAATGCTGTTAAGTAATATTGAGGAATACCAGGTAAGCAGGTTTCTGCAGAGCTGGCACCAGCAACGGCTCACAAGCTCAGACACACCAGAGCTGATGGCATGCAGCCAGGCACATGTACTGTACCTCCCTCCGCATCCCACAGAGCTCCCTCGCACCCCACATCAGGTACACCGCATGGTCACCGTCCCAGCACACGAAGGGTTAGTCCTACTCACACGATCTCATGCATCTCTATCCCTTTACTTTCATTCCATTTTCCTATTTTCTTTTCTATGCTGCTTTTTCTTATAATTTTTCCCCAGTATACTTTTCCCATAGTATTAATGCACAAGCAATACTGCTTTTTGCTGAAAAGTCAATGCTGTTAGGTATTGAGAAAAATGCTGAAAATGCCTGAGAAGTTTGGTATCCCTGCACTAACTCAGAGCCTGGGAAGTAACACTATCAATCTTGTCAGCAGGTCAGCATATCTAACTGCCACTTATCCCATGCTTTTAAAACTTATCAAATATTAATGTTGAACTTATTGAGGTTTTCCACCAAAAATAAAAAACCAAAACAGGTCATAATTTATATTAGTAATTTTTGCATTCACCATTTCAAAACCTTTAACAAAACAAATATGTTAGTGTTTGATTTAAATGGAATCAAGAAACAATTGAACTATAGTGCAAATACTGACTATAGTAATGCTGTTGCATAATACTGTTAATTGCGCTAATTTAATAATTTCGAAGCCCATCCTCTGTGGGGTTTTGCCTAATGGGGTTTATGGGCAGCTTTTGCCCATCTGTTCTTCCATTGCCCTTGCTGCAATACTTTCTCCCTTTCTTCATCCTCAATATGAAATTTCACTTCCTGCTTTTCCCTTGATTTCTTTATTCCTACTTTTTCTGGGTCTTCCTCTCAATGTAAAATAATCTCTTGTCAGCATAGGGTCCATCTATATTATCAATTTCCTGCCACCTTATGCCCAGGTACCATGAAACTATGCATCCTCTTGGTTTTCAAAAGAAGTGTGATTTCACTTACCTTTCAATATGGAATATACATTGTTTTGTCCCCTCCTCCAGTGTACACATGTTAAAGGTTTTTCACTTTGACTGGTGCAATATGAGAAAGAATCTCTTATCTCTTTCAAGAAAATAGCTAAATTCTGGGGGAGGCATATGTCTGTATCTTCCTCAAAGCCGAAGTATTTACTTTTACTCATATACACTTTACACATAGACATGATGAAACAAGTTGACTTGATTACTAAAATGAAACTAAGAATTGGCATTGCCATTATAAACTGATCCTTTTAATAGTTTAGAATTAGGTTGGGTTTCTGTTGTTCTCAGTGCAAATAATTCTTTCTGAAAAAGTTCCTTGGAAAATATTCTCTACTCCCTTTCCTGGACATGTGTATACACACAAGCATGGTCAGCATCACCAACACAGCCCACTTTTTTTGCTTCCAAATTTATGATACACAAATATGTATACAGATTAACAACTTTATACAACATGCATTGCTATGCTGAAAAGTATAAAAAATTCAAAATTGGAAATAGAAAGAAGGCTTCCCAAAAGTAATCCAACCTAACTCTTCGCAGGTTTTGAAACATACTTAATTATCAAAGCAAATCCTGATGGACGTTAATGTTACTGTGAATACAGTTATTGACTATTTTTCAGAGAGCTCTTTTTATAGACAAATAGAACAGTCCTTCCCAGTTCCAGGACTGGCTTGAGAAGAGAGGAAAAAAAGTAGTTGTAGGCTACTTCTCGTATGTTATACAATTTTGACTAATTTTTAGGTTAATTTTCAAGTAGAAGGACACTACTACCCTGGAAGCCCACCTAAGAAACCAGAGCTGACTCACATTTTCTTGGTATCCAAGAAAATAGAATATTTCTCCTTGATTCTCCCTATTAAAAACAAAGGCAAGTACCCAGGTTTCTTCCTCGTTACAAAACATGGAATCTGTGGAATGAGTTGACTGAACAGAGCAGGCCGACATCCAGTGCTACTTACCATGTCTCAAGAAAGCTTCCTAGTGCAACTCCCAGTCCTGTCAGGAAAGGGACTTTTATTAGCAGCTCTGTTGCAGTCAACAGGTTTTCATCTTTGGGAAGCTATAAGAATATCAGTTGGAAATTTGCCCTTTCCTTCCAAACTGCCAAGGAAATTCAGGTCATATGACTGGATGGGATCAACTGCAATAGCAAGCAACCTCTCAATATACGGCTAGTTCAGGAAGGTCTACAGAACATCAGTTTCCCCACACAATTACTCTTCCAAACACTGGAGAACCCTATATCAAGCTGAAGGTCTGTAGTACAGGATTAAAAAATAATCAGGTGAAATCAAGCATTACCCATTTCCCACCTCCTTACATGGGAACTCGTTAAATAAAGCTTTAGAGGACAATGATCAGTGAGCCATACCCCACAACACAGAAAAGGGCTAAAAAAATCAGACACAACAGTCCTTTCCAATTTTCTGTTCTCTCTGTCTCCTTCCTTACATGTTTCCGATACGGGCAGTATGCTGTTCATTCAGCTGAGCAATGCATGACTTTCCAGCATCTCCCAATTTGGGCCAGGTGATTGCTCTGCACAAATACAGACACGGCCTCCACATCTCCCAGCTTCACTGCCGTGCTTGGTAACATGAAAAAGCTGCCTAACTTTAGAAAGATCACAAGGGCGTGGAGTTTCCCAGCTTACGTGGAATCTTCTTGAAAAGCCAAGCAAGTGGAAGGCCTTCCTGTGAGCAACATAAGCAACATCCTTGTCACAACATTTTTTCTATAGCTGAATTCTGATCCTTAAAATGCCTCCTCTATGAAGGATCTGAATTCCCTCCCAGCACTAAAAACATGATGAATCTTTGAATAAAGGATGGACCCCTACTCAAACGGCACTTCGCCTCTTCCCCTGGAAATCTGGCAGATGTAGCAGCATTTTGTCCTAAGGAATGGGGAAGAGACAAAGTGACAAAGCTACATTACTCTGCAGTCTTTCCTCCTTCAAGAGGCACCACTGCCTTCTAGATGGTATTTAGCTGGACCTTGCTTTGTTTAAAGAAAGTCTAAAAGAGAACAATAATAGGCATACTGCTTGACACTAAGGCTCTGCCATGTTTTAAAGGAAAGGGGAGGAAGAGAGGAACCCTTCTCCCTTGTTTAAGCTAGTTAAGGCAAAGTCAGTGGAGACAGCAGAGACAACAATAGTAGATATCGTACTGTGGGTCTTCTTTGGATTGTAATTTTGGCAATTCCCAATCAAGTTCAGGCTGCCTATTTGGAAGGGTGAGATGTGTCTTGTAAAATCTTTCACTTGAAGATCACTAAAAAGATGCAGTCCATTACAAAAGGAATCATGCAGTTTTGCTGCAGCAGCTGATTTACCTCTTCAAAAACACCAGTGCCACATTAATTGAAGGCTCTTGTTGAGAGTATTATCCAGATTCAAGAACAACAGACAGAGAGAAATAGCTATACCCTGGGATCAGACACTTTTCCAAAACTGGGACAGAGCAACTTGACCTAGAAACCTCGAAAAACAAGAGATTTACTACAAGCTGGAAGAGCTCCTCATTGTTTCTAAGATCTATGTAAATTAGAAAAGCGATAGTGCAATCATATAGTCTTGTTATTGTAATTACAAAGTTAATCAAGGGCTTTGGAGTTAACAATAGCATTAGGGAACACAATCAAATAGTGAAATGGAACAAAAGATAGAAAATGCAGATTATTAGAAAATTAAGAGTAACTGTCAGACTTCAGAACACAAAAGCCATAGCAAGGAGTTAGGAAAATTGCAACAGAAATCTCAGTGAGTTTTAAAGTTAAAAGCATTCAGCTTTGCACTTAGTGTGCCAGCATCCACTGTTTGCCATAGTATCCATATTTTTTGTTTTAATGTTAAGAGAATGCAAGATGGTTGGAAATTTTAGACCACTTTCTGAATATTTCTAGTTGAACTCACAAACATGTTTGCATTTAAGATTTAGATCCTACTGAAGCGTGATAGTTTCTTACATTGTACTCACTTTGTTATGAGTCTGCACAACTGAAAGAAATAACAGGTCAAGTAAAATATGCAATAATACTTAAAACAGATGTTGATGTAAATTCCAGTGGAAAGAAAATATTTGTTTCGATGTATGCGCTTTCTTAGAGCTTATTTTTCTTATATTGTGCAACTACTGTATTTAAAAGCAGAGACTATTAAGAATGAATTTGTTTAAGAAACAGTAAGAAGTGGTTCTGTGAAAGCCTGTCAAAGAACAGAATGTTCCGACTTTTAAAAATTTGTGCTGCTTCATAAGACGCAAAAAATCACCAACTAAATGGGGGAGAGAAGGGGAGACTATCCGACCTTTTATCTCACTCTCAATATAAATTTCACTGTATTTATGTAGTCCAAATTATAGAAACTGTTGAGCCAATTCTGTACTATTTCAACAGGAAAAGAACACTCTTCAACCTTTGAAATATTACATATCAAAACATTAATTGCACTTGGTGCTTCAAAAACAAAGTCAGAGGTTTGGGAAAAATTGTTAGCTGCTTTTAAAGCTTTTAATTTCAGCTCTTCTATTTATTTTCCTACTGATACAATGTGATCAAGAAGCTCTTGGGCCCAGGAGAAATACATCCTGTAGTCACAGGGCTGAAACAAACTATTTTATAAGGTTAGAGGTCATGAGTATGATTTCTATTCCAGATTAACAAACTTACATGATTTTCTGTTGGAAGTTTTCAGTGGCTGAATCTGTACTTCTGGTCTTCTTAGTGCAAATCTCCTATAAAATGGCAGGTGGTAGGGGAAAGACACAAACTCCTTAGTTTTCACTGCAAGTTTGACATTAATAATCACTTAACATCATCAGACTATTGCAAAATATCCAGAAGATTTTACAAGAAATTAACTTAAAATAATGCAATCTATTCACAATCTAAAAAATTAAATCCTCAGCCTCAAATTTTTGTAAGCTCTCCAAAACCTGCTGCAGTTCTTATTCCTGCATAGTACATCAGTGTGAATACAGATACTGATGTGCTATTTTCCATATGTTTTTTCTTTCAATCTGGATCAGTGTTATGCTATCAGTTTTTGTCATTATTAATTCTAGCCAGACAAATAAGGAAATCCAAAGTATTTCAGCAACAGGTTTCCAAGTTCAGTTGTCTTGCTGCAAATGCAGGTTTATCATACCCATGTAATCTATGAGCATTACATATGACAACTATGCTAACTTAACAACTCAGCAAGTTAAGTGTCTTCTCTTACTACAAAAAAATAATGAAACTATGTTTCTCAGTAGCTCACCTCTCCTGGAAATGCTTTGAAGGGATCAAGCCTGCTCTGGGATTGGCATCACCTTCGTGTTTGGCCTGCCACCAGGTTGCATCATCCTGGCTCATGATCTGAAGGATATCTCCTTTTCTGAAAGCAAGTCCAGCTTCTTTACAAGGAATTGCTTTATCCTCATTAGGATCATAGTCAAATAGGGCTCTGATAAACATCTGAAACAAACCATGTTTTATCTTTAGAATCAAAATATTAAATGTAATCCAAAGGTATCTCCCTTTTTTGCTTTTAGTGCTTAAAACCATTGAACTAAATAATGTAAAGCAATAAATATTTACTGCTGTAAAACATTCTTATGGACGTCTAACATTAGAAGTTCACAGGGGAATGTTAAACGTATTGCTTCTGCAACCACAATCCCAATGGAGTAAAGGCTCTATGATCCAACGCAAATAGGACTTTGCAAGTGAACAATGTGCCCATATGGGGAACAGAAGAGAAGATACTTTTGAACCAAGGTGCTATCAAGTGTCTTCTACCCAGTGTATGATGGAAGAAAAGGAGTACTTGGAAGCACGCCAGGTCCTTGCAGAAGACTGATGATTACCTATGTCAACTTCATGGCTGTAGAGTTAGTGCTCAAGAACCACGTTACACCCACTTGTAAATCCAGCACGTGAGTATTGAAGTGTACAGTGCACCACACATTGTCACTTAAGAAAAACTGAGTCTGGAGGCATAAATTACATTCTTGGTTCTGTCATCCAAGCAAACAATATATATCCTCAGCATAACAGTTACTGCAATAGCTTCTGAAATAGTCTTGCCTACCTTGCCTTCCTTCACTGGCATTTCTTCCTTCACACTAGGTATAATTTTAAATGTAATTGCTCCTTGAGACTGAGCCTGGTGAACATTTGAAAAGAAAATGCACTGAGAATTAAGCTGTACATTTCAAAGAAATCTTAAAAGGAAAAGAAATTCAAATTAATTTAAAAATACTCAAATATAATGAATGTATCCTCTCCCAGGCATGATCCATGGAGTTTGACAGCTTTACCACACCAAACTTTGCATTGCAAAGATTAAAATACCCACTTGAAACGCTCGGTTTTATTTGCTTCACTGGTGGGCAGAGATGGAGTGTTGAAAACTGGGACCTGCATGTGTCAGAGGTCCCACGTCTGCACTGAAAGCAGGAGCAAATGCTACAGCTAAAGTGTGTACGTATTAGAAGCAACTGCTGGACTCCTGGCACAGTTTGGACATCCCTGGAAAAATCTAACTAACAGTTTTCAAAAAAAAAAACTGATAGAAAAATTCAAACAGGCTTGTGCCATATTTATCATATAAAACTATTGGGGGGGGATTTATTCTTTTGGCAACTTTACGAAACTAGAAAAGAAAAACATTTTTGAATAGACTATGTGTGCTAAATGGAAAAAAAGCCCTCCACTATAAATCTTAAAACAAGTTAGCCATCATCAACCACCTCATCAAAAAAAAGTGTGTCTGGCTGCATTTTACTTATTAACCACAATATATTCCCACTGCCTCAGTGACATTTTGCTATTGAAGGAAGTGCTAATCAGCTGGAGCCTCTGCTACTATTGCATGCAGCCGACAAGTTTCATAAAACTAGCAGAGTGCAACAGACAGCCAACGATTTAAGCAAAATGGAAACAGGCCTGTCCACTACCAAGTGAGACATACTTCTGCCGGCATGTCTGCGATCCAAGAGCTCACTGTTTGACAAGCAGCAGCCAAGTTCTTATTTCACCAGCCGTAGGACTGGAATCAATAATTCTGTTACTTTTGAAACAAGCTCTAACTAGCTTTTGATGTTTATATTGTACCTCGAGGAGGTAAATGGGGAAATTGTTCACACCTTTTCTAGTGCTATTGTGTTTCTAGAGATTTTTAAATATTAATTTCTGCAGGAAAATATGTTTCTGTAGGGAACGCAAAACCACAAAGCAAGTATGAATATCAGTGGGCTAGCATTTGAAATGAATCATCTCGGTTATTGAACCAAAACTGTGAGACAGCCACTCAATTCAGTGGGACAGCAAGGTATTTATGTATACAGAAATGCCTAAACCATGAACATAAAGACCTGTCATGACCCTCACTGATTTCTTTGCTGTAAAAGTATTAAATATTTCTGAAAAAGTCTAAATTATTTAATTTGCAATAGTGCTCCATAAGTGAGTAATTAGACTGGCTTTAGAGATTGGATAGTTCAGAGCAGTGCAAACATAATCATATATACAGCTATATACTGCAAATCAATATAAAATATAATCTTAATGTACCAGTTAGTTTATTCTATGAAGTACACGTATTATGAATTAATTTTTGCATGGAGTTAACGTGTTAGTAATGAATACATTTAAAATACTTTGAATTCAACAGATCATGGTGTGCCTTAAAAACTGTGGATTATACACTGAGGTCTGCAACACTCTGCAACGTATTTATAGCCATATTACCATCACTACCTCTTTACAAGTAATTTGTAATTGCATATATATGTAACGTGTGGAAAATTGTTCTTTAAGAGAAAGGAAATAGAGGTTTGTAAATTATGGCACTGGAAGAAAAGGCATTATTGTAGAATATACTTTTTGCTAAGAAATACACCAAAAAACATAACTTGACGTTACTTTTTCTTGACGCCCCTTAATTAATTTAAAATGTTTGGTATTTACCAAAATGTGTATTATTTCTTCGGGTTTTTTATCATCTACCGGAATCCCATTGACTTCCCTCAGTTCATCACCAACGTGAATAAGACCTACAGAAGGCAAAGAGGTGTTGTTAAACAGTAGCTATGTATTATACAAAAAATGCCATTAACATTCAGCTTTTTTCTCCCTTGTTCACCCACTTTAAGCTCTAACTTAAAAGCAGGAATATACGGTGAAGACAACCTCACCTACTGACCCCTCACAGATAAGTTTGAGATGGTTGGTTTACTCACCTCCCTTCCTTCCTCCTGAAAATTAGTACCATTTCTCTATGACTTTTCCAGACTTTCATGCAGATGTTTGAAAAATGTCTGTGCCAATTCTTTTTCTATTCATACTATTTTCTTATTGCTACACAGCTGCAAGTACTGCAAAGATCACTTAGGCTGTGAGTGCTAATTTGTGGCACAAATGCTTCCTAATTTAACAATATATATCTAGATTTACTCCATTACCCCATCTAAGTGTGAAATGCAGCTGTCCTAGATTCTCTTCAATGAAAAGAGGCCTTTTAGAGTGTAAGTCAGGACCTCTTGCTTGAGTTCTTTCAGACTTTGAGCATCCCAAACTAAACAATGGCAGTCAAAGATGTGCTGGTATTTTGAGAATTACCAGCTGAAACTCCAAATGGATGTACTAATATAAAATAATTCAGCCATCCCGAGTTCCTCCATCAGCAGGTTGTACTCTTTGCATATCCTATCATTTCTAAGTGGATGTCTTCAATTGGAGACAAACTATGATACATCTTAAAAAAAGCCTGCATCTGCTAACTCAAAGATACCTGGGAAACGGGGAAAAAATTCAGCATGAATACCTTCACCAGTATTGAAATATCACTTTGGAAAGCTGTCCAAACCCCAAAGACTTTTGTTTGTGATAGTGATGTATTTCACGTGTACAAATTATCTCATCTTTTTCTGAGTTATAGAACTTGAATGGCTAGTGGAAAACAGAAACACCTTACCACTTCTATCTGCAGCTCCTCCACGCATTATCCTGGCCACCACAATTGCACCAGTATGTTCATCTCTTTTAATAGTAGCCCCCTTCAAAAGAAAAAAAAAAGTTATTTGGTTAATCTTACCATAATTTTAATTCACTACACTAAAAAAAACACTTGCTATGTAAAACTCCAAAAAGTTGACATCAGATCAATGTGTGAATAAGCCAGAAATGATACTTGCTCATGAAAAGAAAATACAAAATATGTTGCTCTCTTACCATCCTATTAAAATGTGACTTCTTTTCCATTCAGAACTGACTCATGCAGTTTGGACAAATGATACAAGAAGATTACTTTTTGACTTAATGTTAACTGCAGCATACCTTACTTGAGTCTGTTGCTAAAACTGTACTAAACTATTACTAAGAACTTATAAATTGCTTTTCCTGCATTAAAACAGGCCACGTTACATACTATGGGGACAAAAAGTTTATCCGTGTTTGTAATAGTTGCACTTTACGCTCAGAACTGCCTGTGTACCCACTAATCATAGTTTTGCTTTACAACGTTATCCATAAATAAACATGAATTTGAGAAATGCCCCTGCATGTCAAGGCTCACCTGGAATACCCGTGGGAGAGAAATGCAGAGGAGGGGGACATTTCCTGAGTTAGTCATGACTGTTTTCATACATTGCACAAACACAGTGCAAGGCAGTTAGGTAAAATTACATCATGTAGTTAAATTTCCAGCGAACAGCTGTCTAGATGAGAAAAATGACTTTGTAACTAGAACTGCGAGGGTGCGCCGAAAAGAGGCACAAGGTGACGGGGAAGCAGCAGGCAGCAGCAGTGACAAGAGAGAAAGGAAGGGAAGCGGAGGCACAGAGCCGCTGCCTAAGCTGGGGTGCCAGTCCTTTCAGGCAGACGGGAAGGAGCGATGCGGGGAAATGCTGGCCCTGCTCTGGAAGGCAGAATCCAACAGAATAACGAGGGGGATTTTAGTTAGATAAGTCAGACTGTATAATCACCTCCAAACAGGTTATTTGAGCCAGTATTTTTAAAAACCAACACAAAAAAAGCACCTCCTGGCCAACAGCTTTTTATCTGCACATGATTATTTTGCCATGTCAATGTAGTTAGTTGCCTGCAATAGCTCTAACTTTGTTAATCAACAGAGATGTTTAGGACTCTGGCAGGTAAGTCAATTGTCTGAAAATTTCCATATTTTTGATGAGTGAATGAACAGTATTAGTTGTACTCTGAGTACAAGACAGCGGTTAGAATTTCCTTCCATCAGAGAAGTGTTGTGCTTGAAGTAAGGTACAGAAGTACTTTATAAAGTTCCTCGAATAATGAAATTGCTTTTACAGTGAGCTTTCTATATTTGTTTAGATTAAACATGAATATCATGTTTATCACGACTTCAATTTTTAAGCGTTTCACGGATGTGAAGCTGAAATATGTACAAGTAAATAATGGGGGTGACATTCTACTACAGTTAACAATTTTACTGACTGTAAATAAACTTGTTTCCCTTTCCCTCTGCCTCTAAGATGGAAATACAGCACAAGACAGAAATGGGAGATTAATTTATATTTTACTGTATGCAAACCTCATTTATTGCAAGTAGAGAAAAATCAAAAACAGTGACCACACAATATTCTCTTTGGCTGAAACTTTAACAGTAGCCAGCACTCCACAGCAAAATTGATGTACTGTACATCTTAAATTTATTACTATGACATTCTATCCATAAGCAAAGTAATTCTGCAATTGGCCAGCCTTATTCTTACGCATTGTTTATAATGTAATTATATCAGTAAGTATTTGTTTGTATTACAGTTTCAAATGAGTCTGAGAGTTTCAAAAAGATATCTCACTTTAAAAACTCATGATTAGGTTTCTGTGCAAAAAGAATTGCATACTATTAGGAATATTAAACAAAGCATTAACCCCTCTAGCCTATATCTCAATATTAAGTTCTGACCTTGCAGCACCAGCTATTAATTTGAAGTTTATTATTAATACCTGGAAGGTTACCTCTGTTTAAAAGTACAAAGCATCTTTTTGACGGATATATTCAGAAAAAAGAAAAAAAAGCAGCATGAGGATGTTAGAGCCAAATATAAATACAGGACATTTCCACTATATTGTCCACGTAAAACAGAGGCTCTCCGAATTCATCAGGGAAGAAGCCTTGAACGGAAAGGCTTCATGCCTTTTCCCTAGAAGTCAACACTACTAAATGCCACTGAATGCAAAAGGCAAGCAATGCAATGACTGACAGCCTTCCATTGCGATCACCCTGCTACCCCAGGCCCTAAGACTAATGTCTGCAAACAGGTACTTCACTTCACCTTGTTTTTAAACAGACCCTAGAAAAAACTTGTGTGGGATTGAAGACCAGAGTATTGACCTAGCCAGCATCTGGAAGTAACGACAAGGCTCTTGTCCAAGTGCAATGGTCACTTCATGGTTTATGCGATTACCAATGTGCTGGCACAAAATTAATTCCTAGCGCAGATTAGCTGATTTGAAAGATGCCCCCGTAAAGATAACAGGTAATTTGGATCTACCTGGAATTATCAGCAGAAAATCAAGTTCAAATTTACAGGGAAATTATTTAACCCAAGTTAGTTCACTGTCAGTAACTCCTTTATGGCAAACTCAAAGTGAATGGGCAGACCCATGAAAAGTACTATTTGAGTTTATGTGTTTTTGCTGTACCTGTAGTACACAAAGAAAAAAGGGGGGTCCTTAAATTCCCCTTCCCTCCCAATTTAGAATACTTAAAAAGAAATCATCGAACACAAGTTGATATCTTTTTGAAAACCCAAAGAGTTGATTTTCTGAAAAAGCAGCTTCTCTTGTACTGCTGCCAGCCCTGCTTAAACTATGAGGTATATATAATCTGGCAAGAATTTCTCCTTATGAGATGTTCAGCTCCAGTACTTTCAGTTACATGTGCAGTGCAGCTCCTCATTTAGAGCTTTAAAAATGGAAGAAGGTTAGACTGGACCTTGAGAGCTGGAAAATATTTTCAGTGTTGCTAGCCAAAAGTGTAAGTTACCCTAAATGAGACATATACAGATGTAATAGCATAGCTCAGTTTAAAATACTTTTAAAGGGAAAAATAAGGAGTTTGGGAGCCATATGGTGATCAGACTGAGAAAATGTTTAAAGGTATACCATGCAAAAGCACTAAAAATAATACAAGCTCCTTCAGCAAGGCTCTTTCACTGTTTTTTTGGTTGTTTGTTTTTTTGTTTTGTTTTTTTTTTCTAGTTTTAATGTAGTAACACTGATTGGTGAGCATCATTCAGGATTTCACATATATAAGCTTTATTAGTTCATCTATTTGTGTGCTGGTTCCAGAATATAAACATTATAAGCCTTTATTTTTAAAGAAAGACAGACTAGCCTGTACCATAAATTACTAATAATAGAGTTTGAAATATCAGTAATAATTTTGCATACCTTTCTGTTAAACAAAAGCACATGCAGATGTTGAATGCAAATAAGTACTTCAATAAGCCTTATTTTAATTCATTCTCTATTGAAAATGCAAATACAAATATCAGTTACCTACCCTATAGTGAAGAGTTATTTAAAAGTTGATGCCCATATACATGTAGACTATGCACAATAAAGCTGTCCCTACACCCAAATTAATCCCACCTATAAAATAGTTGGGTTCATTCACTAATAAGAACCAAGCTACGGGGACTCAGAGTAAAAGGGAAGCAAGAGCTGTAGAATTGGCATGGGCAGAACACGTAAATGACTCTTAAATCACCACAATTCATTTCACCCAAGTTCAGCTATGGAAATCAGGTATCTCGTTCAAGCTAGGTGTCTAGGTTCCTGCTATAGTTAATCGAAAGAAACAGGCAGCTCTGGAGAATGAATCATCCTTTCATTAAAGCAGGCATCTTGAATAGATGGCATGGTTCATTCTTTGGAGCTGCCTACTTTTCTCTTGACTATAGACACAGCATAGAGATTAGTTTTCAAATGGCTAAATTTTTGTGAAATGAATCTGTGTAATGAAGAAGCAACCATCTTAATGTGAAGAAACATCCTATTCAGAATAACTGCATGACAGCTGTAACAAACCTGGAATATCATTTGGGAGCTGGAAGTAGTGAGAGGTCAGGAACTAAATTCCTGGTAGTGTGGTTTTACACCTTGGATATCAGGAATGCTAACCAGGAACATGGCAGTGGCTGAAAAAGCCCTGGAGAAGTAGACATAAGTAAAAACCCTCCAAGCTATCTGATAAAAAGCCTAATTAAAGCCAGGTGAATTTTGGACTATCTCTGAAAAGAGATGTTTCTACTTCTCTTTACGTAAGGTTCAGAGATGTTCTAAATTACTTTTTTCAGATAAAACCTCCTAACACAATTTCACCTCGCTTGAGCAAGACACTGCTAAAATGGCATTTGCTAATAGAGCATTTAGGAAAAAAAAAAAAAAACCAAAACCAAACCAACAAACCTGTGGAAGGATTAACAAAATGTTTAAATCATTTCTTCCAAAAAACTGGAGGAAAGTTCAGCACTGACTTCTGAACTGATGAAATCTGGCAAACAGAAGGCCCTCCCACAAACCATGTGCTTCCCTCTCTTTTGAGATGATTACTCCTGGGAACTCAGGCTTCATTAATATGTGATTAACACCGGCTCAGAACACTGGTGAGGTGCTTAACTCAGAGAAAAGCACAAACAAGTACAAGAGGAAATGTGGTGCAGTTTTATATAAAAATGGTCACTAGATATAGAATAGAATCAAGGAATTATAACACCATTTACATTGGAAAAGACCTTTAAGATCACTGAGTCCAACTGTAAGATCATCGAGTCCAACCGTACATTCCAAAGAAGTTAAGAATGTGCCTAATCTTCTTCCCAGAGAATACAGTTGAAAGTCATCCAAAGGAGTTATCCAATTCAAGAACTTCCAGGGTGTGCAGCTGATGTAAAGCTTACTATTTTGTAGAAAAACAGTCTCTACTGTTTGAGTACAAATAGATAATGAGGATGCATCTGAGGTGAAAGAAAAGTTCACAGAGCTCAGTATCTTCAAGTGAAGAAACAAGACAATCTCCATCCCAGAAAAAATATTGTATAGTACCTCCAATCTCAGGTTCAGTAGCTAGAATCCTGATATAACTATGCAAGTGGAAGTCCGACTTTATGCCTGGTGAATAGTGAATAGATAAACTGGATAAGTAGAGACTCTTTGATCTGTACTCAGTGAAGAATGTCTAAGACTTTAGAAGAAGCTCTGAAGGAAAAGCCATTAAAAAGACATGGAAATAAACAGAAAATGAAATTTTACATTGTTTAGTAAACATAGATCATTGCATACCCTTTCTTTAGTAAAACAACTTCAGGAAGCATACATGCAGTAGACCTAATACACCTAGCATAAACCTGTCTGTCTTTGTTCTGCTGTGCCATATTCTGGTAAGACTTTATCTGAATTACTATTCATGTTTCTTCTCACCCCTACCTAAGAAAAAAAAAATTAATCTGGGGAAGGCAAAGACACAAACAATAGGTTTGTTATGTATGGTGGCGGTGGTGTCATAAGAATAATTGACTATCAATCTGCCACAAAGAATGTTTGACATTATCATTAATAATGTTAAAATGGATCAAAGGTGGGTTATGCTCTCTTCCTGGAGAGCAAGTAACTTGCAAAACAGAACTCGCCGTAAGCTCTTCTGCAACTCAAGAAAGGCTGGGGATTTGGAGAGACAACAAACAGTGCTTTCCCCTACAGATAACTTACAATCTTTGAAATGTTGGTTGAAGGGCAGCTTTTGGAAGTCATTTATGCCAGTCTCCTGCTCAGAGCAGGACTACTGTCAATGCCAGATCAGGTCAGCCACTGCCTTATGGAACAGGCTGGAGACTCTACATCTCTGGCCAGTCTGCTCCAGTGCTGTACTTCCCACTGAATGAAACACTTAACATTCAGTCTAAGCCTCCCAGGGCTGCAACTTGTGGACATTGCCCTGTGTTTTAGCACCTTTCACTGCTGTGAAGAGTTTGACTCTATTGTCCTTGTGAGCTCCCCACTCTCAAGTAGTTGCAGGCTGCAATTAGCTCCCACCCTTTGCCTCTTCCTGGTAATAGGTCTACCACAGATTCCATTATAAGGCAATTTTTGCCTTGGTAATTACACTAAACAGTCTTGACAAACTGAAGACTGAGTTCTCTCACTTTTTTTTTAATATTTTCCATGGCTGTGTTCCGTCTGGTAAAAGAAAGGTTTAATAAAAAACCCTTATTTGTTACCTCCTTAGCACAACAGTTGTACGAAGTTGGATGCACCTTTTAAGAGATTGTACTAGTTTTTGCTGGGACAGTTAATGTTCCTCATAGTAGCTTGTATGGTGCTAAGTTTTGGATTTGTGCAGAAAACAGTGTTGATAAGACAGGGATGTTTCCGCTATTGCTGAGCGGTGCTTACACAGTGTCAAGGTCTTTTCTGCTTCTCACACTGCCCTGCCAGCAAGTGGGCTGGGGGTGCACAAGAAGTTGGGAGGGGACAAGGCTGGGACAGCTGACCCCAACTGACCTAAGGGATATTCCATACCATATGAGGTCATGCTCAGCAATGAAAGCTGGGGAAGAAGGAGAAGAGGGGGGATGTTTGGAGTTATGGCATGTTGTCTTCCCAAGTCACCATGATGAAGCATGATGGAGCCCTGCTTTCCTGGGGATGGCTAAACACCCGCCCGCCAATGGGAAGTGGTGAATGAATTCCTCATTTTGCTTTGCTTGCCTGCAGCTTTTACATTACCTATTAAACTGTCTTTATTTCAACGCACAAGTTTTCGGACTTTTATCCTTCTGATCCTCTCCCACATGGCACTGGGGAAAGTGAGCAAGCTGCTGGGAGGGGCTGAGCTGCCTACTGAGGTTAAACCACAGCACACACAGAGGTACCTGGAAGAGTTTAGTATCCCACTGGAGTGGATGGGCAAGAGTGGAATCTGAGGAACAGCCCAAGGATAACCTTTGGCTTAGGCAACTCTATTTGTCCCTTTAAGAGGGCTTAAAATCTCAAAAGCCAAAATACAGTGCATATATCTCATAAGTTTTTAGAAAATCTCTCAGTTTTGTTTTCAAAGTTGCTATTTACCCAGTTCACTTTGAAATACTATTAACTTAGAGTATTTAACTCACAAATCTTAGTAGCAAATCATGTTTGAAACATAAAACTATGTAAATTAAATTTTGAGATTTTTCTGACATAAATTAAAGACAAAACAACAATAAGGGTGTTTTCATTAACACTAAAAATAAGCTGCTCAATTAGAACTCATCTTATACTATACATTCAAATTTCTTCAGACCTTTCAGAATTACTACTACTCTTTCTGATACTAAATCCTAAAGCCAATTTGTTTTCTTCCTCAAAGAATTCCTTTGATTAAAAAAAAGGAAAGCTTAAAGCTGTTATTTAAATATTTGGGGAAAAAATATTTAATATGTTAAAACAAAGTAAAAACTTTCCATATGGTCAAAGTTTTAATTATGCGTACGGGCACCTACAGGCAGTCAATACCAAAACTTATTTCTTGTTTATTGATGCCAGAAATCCATCAAGACTGATAGTAAGATATCTAATGACAAGCTACCCCTGTATGTCTAACAGAGGCATTGCTCTCCCCCTGTCATCTCAAGTACAGAATCACGGCTTTCTCAAAGTAACTTTGCAGATATTTCTTCAGGATTGCTATCCATTAAAACAAATATCCAGTACAACATAAAACAAAGCTCTTATTGGTTTGCAGGAGAAAAAGAATACAGATAAATTTTATACAAGATGACTCCCACTCTACAGCAAATAAAAATAACCAAATCAGTAAAGCATTTTAATATTCTTGTAATACAACCTAGGTTTAGTCCTTTCATTTTTCCAGATATCCCCATGAAGATATTAACTTTCTAGTATTCATAATCCAAAGTACAACAACAGACATCTTAAATTTGCCCAGATTTCAATTCAAGTATTTTAAAATATGTTTTTATGCTTTCTTTTCAGTGTATCGAAAGGTCACAATTTTTTACACGAATGCTAACAGGCACAGTTCACAACTAAGGTCAAGATTTCTTTGGGGATTCATTCTCCCTCTCTCATTTTAAAACACGTTCATGATTTGAATTCAAGATAAAAGATGAATATGTTATTGATCTAAATGCTCAGACTGGCCCACATATATAATGCTCAAACACCATGAATGAACAAATTCTTATTCATTTCACGTGCTTTACTAATAATGACTGCGAATGGAAGTCACAAGTGTATTATTGAATGTTATGAATAACGATGCGTAATGTCTGTCTATCCACATTTCAAGTTAATGTTACCCATTCATATTCATAATCTGAGCACTCCCCACCCTGCACACAAACATAAAACCCCCCAAAAGGACACGGTTACTTACCAGTGGTTCCCTGTTTTTGACGAGCCTGATTATTTTAACTGAATCTTCTTCCTCATCAATATCATCAGGCATGGGGGGCAAGACAGGATCGTAGTTCTTCTGAGCAACAGTATCGTGCACAGAGAGCAAAGCCTGGAAACATTAATAGTCAGTATATTATTTGGCATCTAAAAAGTTTATGAAAGACAAAGCAGAGGATATTATTTATAGCCTAACTCTACTAATGTGATGCAGGTAGGTTGAATATAATTCTTGTATAAAATTTTAACACCTGTCAAACTGATCAAAGAACTCCATAAATTATATGTTTTCATATACACAATGTATGCATCTAGTAAATTGTGGATACAGAATAGCGTCTTCATACACATGAAAATATCAAGTGCCTTGCCCATTAGCTTGAAATGACAAGAATTATGATCAGGAGAGAACCCAAGTCTCCTGAAGTAAGAACATCATTCGACTTGTCCTAGATAAAAGGTTTCTTTGATACAGTAAGCAGTCCTATGAAACAAATAAGCAAAATAAGCATCTTCCAGTATATCTGTTCAAGCATAAGACGCATGACATTAAGCTGTTGCCCAACCATTCCCTTCAGAGGGGCTCTGGAAGCTTACCTGGTTACTGGATGCCTTTCATACTAGCTCCCTTTCGTATGAGCTCCAAATTATCTTAGGAATTTTTAATTTATTGCAGAATTCATGATTGAGATTGAGGAACATATTACTGAAATGATTTGGTTCAGGCAGGTGCTTATCAACCACCTGTCGCACATCTTGCCTCCTTTCTTTGTTGCTTCTGCAGTTCATGCACAGCTTGGACAATAGATTTTTCGAAGAAAAGCCTAACAAAGCCTGACAAAAGGTTCAATCTTAAAAATAAAATAATTTATGAACTTGCAGAAATTAAAAAATCTTGAAAGCCAAAGGAAGTTAGAAAGCTCATTCACCTAAGGCTCTAAAAATCTCAGCTAGAATCTAAAATTCACAGCTTTTTCTAGTACAGAACTCTTGAAGTTCTTTCCTGAGAAGTCTTTATTATTTGTAATACCTTTTAAACTGGTGAAAAATGGCTAAGTAATGCTTTTAGTTTTGTAGCGACAGTTATGCATTTATAGCAGGAATAAGAGCAACAGCCATACATATAAATCTATCTACTGCTTTCAGTTGCTTCTGTTTTGAAGTAGTTGCTCCTAAATACTTGAATATTTTACATTTTGACCTGATACTTTTTCCCAACGAGTCAATATTACAAAAGTTCTAGTCTGAATAGCAGAAGTAATTTGCAAATTGGTAACCTTCCTGACAATAAAAAGAATGCATTTTGGAAAACGTTGAGATGTTTAGGATAAAGCAGAACACATCAACGTTGTTGATGTGGATGATATCAGAAGGTATCATATCAATGACTGTAATAATGAATCTATTATAACAATTACAATAATGATTAAGAAGAAACTCCTTAACAAAGAACAGAAAATGGCTACATTTCTCTGATGCCAGGTTACTTGCTACTTAGTAAGAGGCAGATAATATTAGACTGAGTATACAAATGACCAGAAACTGTATGTTCTCAAGGATAATGCAAATGTTTTAAAAAAGCATGACACTTCCATTACGCCATTCCAGGATTTTTTGCCTGAATGGAGGAGACTGTAACAACAGAAAACCATTTCCAGGCAATGCTACAAGCTATCATGTCAAAAGCAGAAGGTAAAGAGTGTATGGTAATCTTGAAATTCTGAAGTTTAAATTTGAAGTTAGGTCTTCAACAAATTAAACACAGAGGAAAATCCCACCTGCTTCATGAGATTTGCTATTGTTTTACTAATTTCTATGCATATTGTACAAATTGATAAAAACATTTCAACACACTCTAAGTAATTATTTCTGGTTTTCTTCCCAAGACATAGTTATGAATTTGTACTATTTACCATCAGAAATTACCAGCTCCCTCCCACCAAAGATTAGTTTTACTTTAGATCTGAGGTAAAAACCTCAGGCTAGCGATTATGGGTCCTCCTGGAAATGTGTATTATGAAGCATTACATATGTAAAAGGCACGCAATCACATGCAGTCCTTTACAGATGTATGTGAAATATCAAAGATATACTAAAACAAAAGTAGTGTTTGCTTTTACTTCAGGCTACTTACAGTTAAGACTTCTAAAACAAGTCTTCTGCAATTACGTTTTTCCACATAAAGCTAGGGCACATTCATGGACTGGTTCAATTTAATGAGGTTCTATATTGCAGTTTAAAAACAATCAGGCAGATAGAGAAAACAGATGAAAATAATCTAAAGCACCACTTTCAGAGTAAAAGGTAGCAACTTAAAACATGTTCAGAAGAACCTACCCTTGACAATGAAACTTGCAAAACACTGTCCAGTACTACACTGAATTATGCCACCAGTGTTAATAAGATATGTCCCTGCTCTGACTGCCAGTTTGGGCTCCTGGACACTGCGCGCAAAACAACGATGCAGCCCAAGTATTATAAACCAATGCAAATCAAAGTCTGGTATTTATGATGCTTTTCTTCATTCACAACTGGAACTTATCAACCCCTTTCCTCCTCCTCCCAAAACCCATATTAAACCACAATGTACTACAGTTTTCAATATAAGATCTTTTACCCAAACTCTGGTATTATATTATCTTGGTGCAAAGATGTATATTTTAGGTAAGAGTATGAATGCCAGAAATGATGTGTCTTTTCTCAGTCAAGCTTCCAGAAGAGCTTCTGTCATCACAAACTTGTTTACGCTGTACACTGAATATACTAAGATTTCTTTCCTTCTTGTCTTCCATCATTGCTTCTTCTAACACACTACTCTGTGTCCACTGTAGTTGCTCTTGAAATAGTCAGCATTGTAGACATTGGGCAATAATTAATCTGAAAGCAAAACTTATAAAGCTATTTTGATTTGACTTAATGTATTCAACTAGAGGTGACCAGAGCCTGTCCTCGAGAGGACTTCCATGTGTCCTGAACACACGAAAAAATGACCATATTCACAGAGTAAAGGGACATTTCTTCAGCAGCTTCTTTGTACTGTGCATTTAATACAATGTATGCTTAGTCTAAAAAACTATCTATCAGACTAGACTTCCACAGAAAAGGTTGGGACTTCTTTAAAAACAAACAAATTACAAGTGCCAAGAAATAAAATTTGGATCCTATCATGAACAACATTTGCACAGACTAATTGTGCAGTAAATGCACAAGGCAATATAAAGGCAGTAATGTTCTCTTTTTGTACATAAGCGATTGATTTATTCACTGCAGTTTTATACTCCGTGACACTAATTTTTGCCTATTATAAGAAACTGCAAGAAGTGCAGATACCATTTTAATTTTTTTTTTACGTTTTGTTTTTGTTTTCAAATACACAATGCTCCGGAACTATGCACGTATGAACCAAGATTAGGGTCATGTATATTTAAGCACCTCTGGAAAAAAATATTTTATTTCAGCTCTAAGTTCTATGCTTATGATTCACTAATGTAAACACGGTCCATATTTAGAACTTGAAAGAAGGTATGATTGTAACTCCTGCACTACCTAAATATAAATATTGATGTTCAGCTAAATTCTTAGACATGATCTAGCTGGAAATGAATACTTTCATCAGACCTCTGAAATGTCTAATAACTAGTGCTGTATTTTTCATATTAAAGCTGATCATTTCACAGTTTATAAATTGAAATTTTACACTATCAACTTACACAAAGAAAATCTGACATTGGAAACATTCAAGGTTCTTTTTCCTAAACTGTTCTGAAACTTTAAATGTTTATTTAACTTCAGAATGTTATTAATGAAAACAGTTCTATATTTTGAAAAATGTGTATCATTTAACTACACTGACTATATTTTTGCTCCTCTAAAACAATGACAAATTTCATATTATTTTTTGTGTCTATTTCGAAGAGTAAAAATACTCCAAGCAGGCCCTGACTCATGAACACAGCTCCTTGTTTTTAAATTATCATTATTTAAAAAAAAAAAACAACCTCAATGTAAGCTTTACTTTTCAGAAACATTTTGCATTTACTAGTCTAGAAAAACATTTTAGAAAACAGAAGTTAAATAAAGAAGCAAGACAGAATGGACAAAGAAACAAAAGCAGCCTTTTTCTATATGGCACTTGAGGAAAAAAAAAAAACAAAACCACAAGATTAGAAAAATAAATAATTAATAGTCAAGATTATCGACATAAAATTTGTAGGGACTCAGACCAACCTTTATGAAAGCCAACAGCTGCAGCTGACTGCGACACTGCCAACCCAGCTGCTGGTTACCTTGCTTATGGAGCAGACAACCGCCCTGGCAGCAGTGTCAGCAAAATGGAACAAAATGGCCCATGACTTTGCTGTCCCAGTCCACAGCTTGGCTCATTAGCACCGGCCACCTTCTCTGGCAGTTCAAGCTGAACTCTATCAGGTGAGACAGAGACATTTTCCCACCTCTTTGCTTTGCTATGGTGACAGTAACTTCCACTGAGGCTGGCACAGAGAAGCTACATAGGAGGAGAAAAGTAACTTCATCAGCAACCACAGCAACTTGCCCTTGAACTCGCCTGGCAGAGCTCGTCCTCCAGAGAGCTCTAGCCATATTGCATTCTCCTTTGCGACAGGGTTACAGAAGAAATACAAAAAGAAAAGCTAAAAATATTGGTGGAGAAAATTATTCGACTGGAAAGACTGATTTATGAGTAACTTGTATAAAATTAAAATCAAGTGAGTAAAGTCATCCAGCAACAGACATCGAAGAAGAAGAGCTGAAAGATCTGGGAGGAGACTGAACCAACTGAAGCAAAGACCACCAGAGCATCAAAATGGAAGGAGAAGCATAAGAGATGTAACAGCCAAACATGTGCAAGAACTTAGAAAGCAGAATAAAACCAGCAGAAAGCTGTAGCATAAAGGTGATGGCATACAGGCTCTAGGCACAGAAAAGCAATTTGACTTGAGAACAGTTTGGAGAAGAAAGGAATAAAAATATAAGGTACTCAGAATCAAGCTGTACATTTTAGAACAACTGGTAAGCAGCACAATATTAACAGGGGAAAAGGGAGATAAAAATTTAGATAAGGAAGGGGGAGAGAGAACAACCTTTCTTCTTCTA